AAAAACATTTGGAGCTCAACCAACCCCATAAATCAAGGTCAAGTGCCCACTGCATGTCATTGCGGGACATTGCGAGAATGTATGCATTGGTGTGAGCAAAGAGGCTCGAACAAAAGGTTGCCTGTTCTTAATCTGCTTACAAAAGCCGACATGAAAAGGCCCGCCGCATCTCTCGACCCTCCGTCCAATCATGGAGCTAAGACCCAGACAGACAAGATTCTAGAAGGCCATTGCATCGAACAAATGCTATGGTGCTATGTTCTCAAAACGCTTTGAAAGACAAGCCAACCATAGTCAACAGTTGGTGGGTTCTGTGTCGACTATTGTGGACTTGTTTTGGCAGGAATGTTGAGGGCTGATGCGATTTGCGTGGTTGAACCACCTGCTCGTGCTGATTCACCTGCTCGAGAGCGCCCGGGACAGAGACTCCGTCACTTTGTGCCTCGCATGCCCAAGTGATTCGAAGGGTGTGCATGAATAAACGATAGTGATGTCATGCACCGATAAAGGTGTTTGTGTGCGTGTGTGTGTGTGTGTGTGCAAGCATGTGTGTGTGTGTACGTTTCATGTCTAAGTCTCGCTGTCGCTGGCTAGGCGCCGTTCAACAACCTCGCAATCGAAGCTGCTCCGCGTGTGTTCGGACCTGCTCCATACGATCCGCTCTTGCATGGTCTGCTTGAAGAGGAAGGCACGCTGCCAAAAGTGATTCCTTCCTTTGCATTCCTTCTTTTCCCTGACGAATTTGATTTGGTAGTTGCCTCCCTGGACTGACCAGGCCATCGACCGGCCGTTTTGATCCTGAGGGCGGGTCCACCTGATGCCCTGTGATACTCTGTGTGATGTACTTCATGTTTGAAGGCCCTGTGATACTCCCATGTTCCTTCCCGATGAAACGGCGTCAGACGATCCGAGATTGATAGATTTACTGTGCTCGGCATAGCCTAGCTGTGGCCTTGACAATGGTCTGAGATGCTGCAGCTGTGACATCGCGTCCGAAGATGAAAACGCACTGCAAGTCACCAGGTGCATGTGTAGTTGAAGCCTTGATGTGATGGAGCACTCAGGGATTTGTTTTTGAGGCTCTTGGCCAAGATTTGCCGTTGCAAGTTGATGCCAAGGCCTCTTGCGCTGCTGCCGTCCGCAGTGCCAAAGCCGCTGCCAAGGAGGCAGGCCAACACATTGCTTCAAGCACGGCCGCTTTGGCAGAAAAGTCAGAAGGGCATGCAGAAGAGAGCTGCCACAAGCTCATTGACCAATATGGTCTTGCCTTGGAACTTCCCATGACCATGGTTGAGCTTCATGATGGCAATGAGAAGTACCCTGTGTTTCTTCTCAGCAGCTGGATGGATCTGATTCTGAAACTGGCCCTTGCTAGAAAAAATTGTTCTGTCTTGCAAAGTCGCCAAAGTCTGTTCATGTCATTCATGTGTTTGTGTTTGGCGTGTTGGGGCCATTTGCAAATATAGATTCTGCTGTAGCAAGCAAGGAAGTTCGGAGCTTGGCACCATTTCTGCGGGGCAACCAGGAGAGAAACAGCATGTGACCAGCTGAGTTTATTCTGGGAGCGCTTCAGGGTTCTTAGACCCAACCACACAGTGTTTGCCCTTGAACGGGAAAAGGGCCTGGTGCTGAGCCGCGTTCTGCCTTTGTTACTGCACGGGGACGAGGGGCGTGGCAGGAAGCGAAATGCTGTCCTGTGCATGAATGCCCACCCCATCCTAGGGTATGGCGTGGAGACCAGAAATCGGAAACGCAAATTGCTTCACCGTGGCAAAGAACAACAGATGAACTACACTGGGAACACATATGCGTCCAGGCTACTGCTTGCAATGCTTCCAAAGGCGGTATATGACCTGCACCCAGATTCGTTCTACCGACTTGTGGAAATAATTTCAAAGGACATTTGCTCTTTGGCGGAGGATGGCTTGAAAGGCCCTGACGGTTTGCAGTATTGGTGTGTGAGCCTCTACACAAAGGGGGGACTGGCCCTATCTTTGTAAGATCGGAAGACTGACAAGGAGCTTCCGGAACATGCCTAAGCAGGCATCCAGCAAGAAGGACTGCACAGGAATATGTCATTTATGCCTTGCGGGGAGGCCCCGCATCCCATTCGAGGATTACAGTAAAAATGGTGTCTGGCAGTTTTCAGTGCAAGAGGAAGAGCCTTGGCAACTACGCCCTGAGATCCTCAGGTGCCCTCACGACGAGTCCTTCCCGGAAACGTTCTTCGCCATTGACCCCTGGCACAGCTTTCACCTGGGCGAGGGTCGCAACTTAGTGGCCAACGCTGTCCAGCTCATGCTTGACTTCGTTGATGGTGATTCGGTTGACCAGCAATTGAACCTGCTTTACCTGGACTACAAGCAATATTGCAAGAGGAATTCCAACCAGGTGTATGCACTGCGTTTTACCAAAGAACTTTTTAGTTTGAACAAGAACGATTACCCGACTGGCAGCTGGACGAAAGGAAACCTCACTACCAGCCTAGTGAAGTGGGTTGCGTACTTTTTCAGATCAAAGAGAAATACTTTTGCAGAAGGATCTTTGCATATGAAGCTGGCTGCCTGGCATGATTCCTTTTTGCGTAGGGGGTCGAGGGGTGGAGTAGGCTTCTCTGTGATCCCATAAAGTTTTTTCCATGTGGCCTGTAAGGCTGACGCTGCTGCGGCGATAAACGATTGCTTCTCCAAGCTTTATTTGGCACCATTGTGGGTGCCAAGGGGTGAAGCTTATGTGATTGCCAACCTTGGCTTCAAGTATTTGGAGCTGTTCATGGAACTAGCTAAGCAAAGCCGTGAGGAGAATCGGATGTTGTTCCTGCTGAATCCGAAGGGACACATGCTAATGCACGTGTTCAAGACTATGTTGTGGGAAGCTGACCTTGCAAGTGAGATTCTGAATCCACTCGCGATGGGTGTCCAATTGGAGGAAGATCTAGTTGGCAAGACTTGCCGCCTGGTGCGTCATGTGACCAATGTGAGTTCTTCTTTTGCTATGAAACGCACTTTTCAACGCTACCGAGCCGCTGCGTTTGTTGCGTGGGCAGAGTCTAAGATGGTGATTCGAGCCTAGCTTCAGCTTCTTCACCATACCTTCTCAGAGAGTGACAAATATGCTTTGTGTGTGTGTG